ATTTGCAGCAATGATGAATCAGGGACATTTCACTCTCAACCCTCCACCACCATGGTATGTAAACTGATTCATGATTTTGCACACCTAGGTAGCACCAGATCGTTATGCGAATCTTCAGAATTTGGGTGAACTGCACAGCCTGAAATGCTGCTGGCTGCCTAACTCTGCTTCCAACTATGCTGCAAGGCATTTGTGCTATAAATGCTCCAGAATTAATTGGCAGCATGGAATTAAGGAGGGTTCTAGGCCACACCCAGTGAGAAGTGACTCCCTGGCATCCACTACACATTACGATGAGCACCTTGGTGAAGATTTTCACAGGGAAGATGATACCATCACTCCTTTGCACTCCAATTAACTTCTGGGGCTCAAATTTTGATGCCTCAGTGCTACCAGTTACTCTCTCACTCTCATGGACTGTCTGCATCAGCATGGTCTGTGTTATCTAGTGATCTCTGAGGTCACTCAAAGGACATTTACACCACAGGGAGGCATTTCCAGAGTTATCCAGTCACCACAGAATTCTGTGCAGGTTCAGCAGCACTTACTACCTGGGGTATCGCTGTGAAAACAAAACAAAACAAAAAACCAAAAAAAAACCAAACCAAAAAACCAAATAAACAACTTAATATTTTCCCATCAACTTGATTAAACCCATTCTGTTCCTCTGGCTCAGCCATTTCTGCAGGTCTCAAAAATATGTTGCTTAGACACCAGCACAGGCTTTGCAGCAGTACTCTTGCTTTCAGTCACTTTACACATGCTCATCAGTGAAGGTGACACTTTCCAGGTGACTCAGGCACAAAGAAAGGCTATTGTGGGTGGATAATTTAGGTCCAGCTTTCAACTTTCAGATCAAGCTGAGAGATGACAGAACTTTTCAGTGAAAACTCATTAAGTCAGAGCGCTGAGGCAGATGCAGGGCTGGTTCTGCACCACAGTGGATGCTTTGAGTATTTTGGAGGGGGTAGGACACATCATTCATTGTAGTAAGGCCAGAAATCAGTGAAGTCACTGTAGACTCCAATAAAACCCCTCCAAGGTGCTCCAAGCTCCCTACACCCTCACTATTCATTTCATAAAGCTCTGTGAAATCAGATCAAACCAGTGAAGGTAATGCAGAGCCAGGATGGAGAGGCAGCCCTTTGGCAGGCAGGGCTTTCAACACAGCCCCGGAGGCACAACTGTTCTTGAGGGCCTTGACACAAAGGACAGGATTGAGTTTTCCTGCTTTTTTTTGAAGTGATCTCCAAAGAGGTTAGAAAAGTTTGAGCTCACCTGTGGAGGGTTTCCTCCACCAATGTTTCCTCCAGAAATTCTCCCAGGTGTTTTTTAAGGAGCCTTGGGTGGCTGCCAGAGACCTGGCTCAGTGCTTGCTCAAGGATCACATCAGCACCTTAGCCCACCAGGAGGGAAGACCTGGGCCAAGTTCTTTACTGGCTTTTCTGCTTCAAGCCCCGAAGTCTCTCCTGGTTAGTGCCTGGATGGTGCCTTTCACCGGCAGGACACCAAGCTGGAAGGCATCACCTCTGTTCTTCAGCAGAACCCCTCTGCCAAGGCTGGCAAGCATAGCAGGAACACTTATGCCCCACTGCCCTTTCCTCGAGGGGATCCCCCGGTCTCCCGTGCCCCAGTCAGGGCATGCTGCTCCCCGAATGCCCCACCAGTGCACCCCGCCAGGCAGCACAGCCCCATCTATGCAAATCTATGCAAATATGCGCAATGCACGCAAATCTATGCAAGCGCTTGGGGCTGTCTCGGCGGGGCGGCCCGCCCCGGAGCGCCGGTGCCGCCCCCGGTATAAGGCGGCGGCGGCGCGGCCGTCCCGGAGCGCGGAGCTGCGGCAGCCCGGGGACAGGCAGGTTGTGCGGCAGCGGCGGCATCATGGTGAGTGCCAGCCCCGGCTGCTCTCTCCCTCCGGTCCCGCGAGTGCACCCTGCAGCGGGCTGGGGTCTCCGTGACTTCCCGGGAGGGCTCTACCGGGAGCCCAGAAATGCGGGCAGCTGGCGCCGGGAGTGCCGGCTGTGCTCGCCCTGCCTTTGCCTGGCTTCAGCCTCTTCCTGAGCGGCTCCCTCCCCGGCTCTCGGCAGCCTCCCTTCTTTGAGCATCCCCTTGCACCCGTGGCAGGGAGGCCACCAGCGAGCCTCGCCGGCCGCGGAGACCGGTCCCGTCTCATCCCTCTCCCACTTTAATAGTGTCGGTTCCTGCCCGTGTCCCGCGGTACCGTCCCCGGCTGCTGGGAGCTCGCCCCGTCTGCCAGCCCCCCGCGCTGCCGACCCACAGCTGAGCTCCGGCAGTAAGCTGTGGCTTCCTTCACCCACTGCCCTGCTCCAAGGGTGGGCATCACTGTGGGTGGGCTTCCAGGCTGCCCTGCCGCCGTGGTCCTGCGGCCATCTGCGGTTCATGAGCTCTCCAGCTGCCCTGGAGAGCATCCCAGCCCCAAGGTTTCCCGGGCACCCTGCCTGCTGTCCCGCGGAGCCATGCTCCCAGCCCTTCCCGTGCCTGACTTGGCCGTGAAGAAGGCAGAATCTACTCTGTTGGCTGTTGTCCAACACTGCTGCATCCTGGTGCTGCTGAGCTCTGCCCAGCCTATTGTCAGTGCTGGGTGCCACAGAGCCAGTCCTGGCCGCTGCTTGTTGTTGGGATGAAGTGCAGTGAGCAGCATAACCCTCTGCCACCCCCACACTGATTCACAAGGTCCTTTGCCAAGAAGGAGTCCTCTCATCTCATCTTCCTTGAGGTGCTTGCATCTTTGCCAAGTTTTCTATGCTCTTCTGTAGAGGATCTTGGAAGACTTGCCTCAGGTCTTAAGTCCTCGGGTCTTACCCTTGGCTCCTTGTATTACACAATGTTTATGGACCTGCTGGGAAGGATACGTGGGGTATTGCTTTGCTCTTCTTGCACCTCAGCTTTGGGAAAGGTGAGGAGATGGGCTTCCGCCTCTCACCATGGGTATCAAGGGCTTATTTTTTTTGCCATCCCCCACTGTCACTGCTGCCTCTGAGAGGCAGCACTGAAAGCATTTTAGATGGAGAGAGACAGGACATGCTGCATCCTGTGCAGTCATTGCCCTGCTCCTGAGTGCAAAATGGCTGGTTCCACCGGCTTCCTGCCAGCTGACTCACAGTGGGGCACCATGGCTCTGGAAACCCAGTTTGATTTGGGCGCTCCTCTGACTCAGTTGTCCCTGATGACACATCCAAATCCTTAGCAACAACAGGAGGTCTAAGGCACTGAATACTTTCATTCTTACCAAAAGAACTGCAGGCTCTGTGGTGCCTCATCTGAAGGGAGTGAGGTTGTAGAGCCCACCTTCACCTAGCTTCTCCTGGGGGGGCTGAGACTACCCTTGAAGCTGTGAGCTAAGAGACCCTCCCACCTCAGCCTTTCTGTTGACTTAAAAAGTGCAGCTAACGTTTCCTCCTCCTCTAGAGCTAATTTAGGGAAGCTGAGCCTCAGAGCATGGCAACCATTCATGTTTGTAGATCCCCTCACTTGCTGGGTACCCATCCTCAGTGCCCTCAGCTCCCAGTGTCCTGGTGGTGCTCTGCCATCTCAGCCTCCAGCGCTATTGTTGGAATTGCAACAGGGGCTGTGCCAGATGCTGCTGGGTGTCAGCCCTTTAAGCCATATGGATGTTTGGGCAATGCAGAAGATGCTCACTGGATGCTATCCAGGGCTGTGGGTGGGACTAGTCCAGGGGATGGGCAGCCTGATATCCTGGGCTACTGCAGGTGGGTCTCCATCTCCTTGGGTCCGGAGGTGGTCAGTGTAGTGGTGAGAGGCAGAGCACTACATTTGGGAGAAAGCAGAAAACTGAAATGGACACGGGGCACCCAGGCACAAGGGCAGCGTGGCTTGCCCAAGATGATGAGGGCCAGAGCTGCCCATCCAGGGCTGTGCACTGCCTGCGGTGATTGCATTTCTGGTCGCTGCTGGGATCTGACCCTGCCTCCCCCTCCCCAGCGCGAGTGCATCTCCGTCCACATCGGCCAGGCCGGCGTCCAGATGGGCAACACCTGCTGGGAGCTGTACTGCCTGGAGCACGGCATCCAGCCCGACGGGCAGATGCCCAGCGACAAAACCATCGGCGGAGGGGATGACTCCTTCACCACCTTCTTCTGTGAGACTGGGGCTGGCAAGCATGTCCCACGGGCCATCTTCGTGGACCTGGAGCCCACAGTGATTGGTGAGTTCATCCTAATTGGGCAGTGATAATGGTCATTATTTTGGGGAACAGCCCATTGCAGGACACTCCCAAGAGCGCTCCTGCTACCTTTCCCCAGATCCGGTTAGCTAATCTATTTTGCCACTCTCTCCTAGATGAGGTTCGGGGAGGTGTCTACCGGCAGCTCTTCCACCCTGAACAGATGATCACTGGCAAGGAAGATGCTGCCAACAACTACGCCCGTGGGCACTACACCATTGGCAAAGAGATCATTGATCAAGTGCTGGACAGGATCCGTAAGCTGGTAAGTGACTGCAGAGAGGGGATGTGTCTCCCTGAACTGGGGTCCCACTCCGGAGGTGGGAGCATGATGTGAGTTCTGCTGTGCCTTGGGAGGAATCACCAGCTACCCAGACAAAAGTCTGAAACTTCCCTCCAGCCAAGTCAGTGCTTGAGGAAACCATACTTGTCTCTCCACAGGCTGACCAGTGCACAGGCCTCCAGGGATTCCTGGTGTTTCGTAGTTTTGGAGGTGGCACTGGCTCTGGATTCACCTCCCTGTTGATGGAACGACTCTCTGTTGATTACGGCAAGAAGTCCAAGCTGGAATTCTCCATCTACCCGGCACCACAAGTCTCCACTGCTGTGGTAGAGCCCTACAACTCCATTCTCACCACCCACAGTACATTGGAGCACTCAGACTGTGCTTTCATGGTGGACAATGAGGCCATCTATGACATCTGCCGCCGGAACCTGGACATCGAGCGCCCAACCTACACCAACTTGAACAGACTCATCAGCCAGGTTGTTTCATCCATCACAGCATCGCTACGGTTTGATGGAGCCCTGAATGTGGATCTGACCGAGTTCCAGACCAACCTGGTGCCCTACCCTCGCATTCACTTCCCCCTGGCCACCTATGCCCCTGTGGTTTCTGCTGAGAGAGCTTATCATGAGCAGCTGTCGGTATCTGAAATCACCAACTCGTGCTTCGAGCCGGCGAACCAGATGGTGAAGTGTGACCCTCGCCATGGCAAGTACATGGCCTGCTGCCTGCTGTACCGCGGGGACGTGGTGCCCAAGGACGTCAACGCCGCCATCGCCACCATCAAGACCAAACGCAGCATCCAGTTTGTGGACTGGTGCCCCACGGGCTTCAAGGTGGGCATCAACTACCAGCCACCCACGGTGGTGCCGGGGGGGGGACCTGGCCAAGGTGCAGCGCGCCGTCTGCATGCTGAGCAACACCACGGCCATCGCTGAGGCCTGGGCTCGCCTGGACCACAAGTTTGACCTGATGTACGCCAAGCGCGCCTTCGTGCACTGGTACGTGGGGGAGGGCATGGAGGAAGGGGAGTTCTCTGAGGCACGGGAAGACATGGCCGCTCTGGAGAAGGATTATGAGGAAGTGGGCCTGGACTCCTACGAGGATGAAGATGAGGGTGAGGAGTAGAGAAGCTACAGGCCTGAAAAGGACCATGCTTTCTACCCATGTTACCTGCAAACCCTTTGCAATAAACCGTTTCAGTCTCCGTGTGTCCCAGTATCCCCCCAGCTGTATCAGTTTCTTGCCATGTTGGGTGTGTGGTGAGTGCTTCAGCCCTTGCTACTGGTGCTGCTATGCTTCCTCCCAGTGCTCTGCTCCAGCTCCACCTCCCCCCTCAGGTAAGAGCCCCATACCCGTGGGATAGGTCCAGGACACATGGCAGGCTCTAGGAAGGTGCCGGAGCATATTCACCAAAGGGATCTGCAGGAGTGCTGCTGATGTGAGAGCAGAAGTACCAAGCTTAGGCATGGGGTCCTTTGTCTGGGAGTAAGGCTGCCCTCAGCCTGCCCTGCTCTGCCAGGGTTCTGCCTTCCCCATAGGGCATGTGGTCCTGCTCTACCTGGCCCAAATCATCTCCTTCGTTGTTCCCATTCTGTGTCCTCTCCCTGCCCTGCCTGGTGGTAAGGAGTCCCAGCATCAACTCCTGGCTCCAGCTACAAACTGGAGATTTCTGTTACCCATTATCCAGTGTGCTGTTTCCAGAGATTAATTTTCCCCGCTTACCACTAATGCTCCAGCTATATTGACCCACAGGGGCTGTCCTCCCCTGCCCTCCTCCCAGCATGCACCCATGTCAGCTGGAGGGCAGAGTGGGGGCCAGCCCTGGCTGCTGGAGCGCAGCCAGGCACTCATCCCTCTGCACAGGGCTGCTGGCAGTGCTCTGCTTGCCTGTGACTGGAACGCCAGGCTCAGGCTGATTGGTGCCTGCTGCTGCTATGCCAGGGCAGGAGTCACTGCCCCTCATACCAAGTGCTGCTCTGATCCACTCCTTATATCTTGTCTGATTATGGGCAAAGCAGGCAATCTGCTCCTTCAGAGCAATCCCATTGCTGACATCTCCCTGGGTTTTCACAGGCACGACTGCCACCAGAAGGATGTAGGAGTTGGAATTGTGTCCTGTAGCTTTTTCTAAAAGTTATCCTGCACCTCTGTCCTTGACAAGGGACCCAGTAGTGTCTCCTGGCACACTGCTGACTAGCAGAGGCCCATCCATCCCCATGGCCAGGCAGGGGTAGCTGTGTCCCTAGGTACTGACATTAAAGACAGAGCCCTCTCCCTGCTAAAGCAGCATTCAAGGATGAAGGTCCAGGAAGCCTCAGTAGCAGGATCAGCCCTAGCCTTGGCAGGGGTGGCTGCACTGGCCAGGGCTCAAACAGAGCTGCTGCTCTGAATGTAGTCACAAGTTATTAACAGCAAGTAAGCTTCAATGACCCTTTTTTGGCAGCCCAGATTTGTCATGCAGATCTGCAGACTCACAGGGTTGTGCAGTACTGCCTGTTTGTCCCCACCGAGAGAGAAGGGCAAACCTTGGCTGGAGCCTCCCAGAGCATCAATGGCAAAGGGGAGGTTTGGGGGACAAAGTGGGCTCCAGAATCTGACATGTGTGTCTATCGTGTTTCTCCTCCTTTCTCCTGTTCTAGAGGCACAGGTGGACTCGGGGTCTCCCCACACCCGTGGGGGAGCTGGTATCAGAACAGGTTAGGGACTGTTCTACCTGCTCTGTCCCCGGTGCTGGTGGCTCAGCACTGCCTGTCACCCCAGAGGCTGGTCCCCAGGCCTCCTGCCCACAGCCTGGACCGATGCCCCCGCCTTCCTCCCGGCAGAGAAGGGGGAGCAGCTTCGTGCCCCCCACCTCGGGGTTCCTCCGCAGACGAGAGGACCCGGCCAGGCTCCCGCGGCCCCCGAAGGGGGTACCCCCTCCTCGCATGCAAAAGTACCCAAATAAGGGGGCGTGGCGGCACCAAGCCCCTCCCCCCTATAAGAGAGCGCTGCGGCGGGGATTGCAGCAGCCGCAGCTCCGCGCCGAGCCCCGCCGCACCGAGCCGCCGGGACAGCCCGCACCGCCCGCCGCAACATGGTGAGTGCGGGCCGGGAGGAGGGCACGGCGGCGGGGAGGGCGCCCGGCAGCCCCCCGCCAGCCGCCCCGCAGCACCGTGCCCGGTGGAGCCGTCGCGACTCGCCCCCTCCTTCCCCACCGTGACCTTGGGCAGCCCTAGCGGCCCCTGCCCGGGGGCAGCCGTGCCCCCACCGCCCCGTGCCCCCAACCCCGCCGCCACCGGCACCGGGGCGCCTGCCCCCCTCCCCGCCACCGCCGGCACCGGGGGGGCGCCGGGATAGCGGGGTGACCTCTCCGGCGGGGAGCGGCGGCCGCGGATGGACGGGGACAGCTGCGGAGGGTGGAGGCACCCGCCGGGCACCGGGGGCCGGAGCTGGGCGTTCGGCGGGGCTCTCCCCGCGGCAGCGGGCGCCCCGGCGGGGTTGGCGACCGGGAACGGGTGTGGGGGTCCCGTCCCTTCAGTGTCGTCCCGCGGGCGTCTGGCAGAAGCGGAGCGGGCTGGGGACGCTCTCCGAAGCGGGCAGTGGCCGCTGCCCCCGCCCGGGGCCGGGGCTGTCTATATTTAGCGGCTCAGGAGTGGGCCGGGGCCGTGCCAGAAGCGCAGCGCAGCGCTCTGCCCGCCGCAGCGCTGCCCGGGCCCCCAGCTGCCCTCCCTTCCTCTCTGTGCCTGGGGCTGCTCTCGGCCCTCCCGCAGGGAGAAGGAGCCCTTGTCCTACCCGGGCGCTGGACCGGGGCACGGACACCATCGCGGCTGAGGACGCTGTGCAGTCGGGGAATGCAGGAGTGAATTGCTGCAGGACCTCGAGGCTGAGTCGGGGTGTCCTGCTCAGGGAGGCAGGGATGCCGGGAGCAGTGAAACAGGGATGCTAGGACAAGCAGAGGCGGGATGCCGGGGACAGCAGAGAAGGGATGCTGGAGTAGTGGAACAGGCCTGCACCTCCTGAATGGAGTGCACATCTCGAGCTCACAGCCTGCTCCTCAGCACTTCTGCCAACACGGGCTTTGCAGCACAGGACTGGGACTGTGTAGCTCAGGGAATCTGTGTTGCCTCAGAAACTGCTGGTCTTCATTGCCAGCTGTTACCTGGCTGCCACCTACCACCCTTGTGTCCTCAAGGCCACTGACTCCACAATACTGCTTATCTGTCTCTGAATCCTCATGGGCAGAGGGGTTTGCCCATGCTGATAGCCCCTGATGGGTTAAATGTGTGTACATGTCAGCTCAGCTCCTCACTGGACTGCTCTTGCATGGGGAAGGGGCTGAGGCTGCCAGGGACCCTGGCAGAGTAGGTGGTCCAGGCTCTGCTCCCCTTACTGCTGGAGGACAGGCCCAGCCAAAGTCCATTGAGCAGGTGGCCCCCAGTGAGCGCAGGGCAAGAGGGATGCCAAAGCTGGATCTTGATCCAGAGTGGTGCCTGTGCATGGATCCCACCTATGGGGAGTCCCTCAGGAGGTCACCCAAAGGAAAATGTGCTCTCTGGGACCACTGACCAGAGTGGGTTCAGTGTGGGTGACTGTGTGGCACTGGCACCAGCTAGAGCCCTCCCTGGAGCAGGCAGGACAGAACTGTGCCAGGATCTGACCCTGCCTCCCCCTCCCCAGCGCGAGTGCATCTCCGTCCACGTCGGCCAGGCCGGCGTCCAGATGGGCAACACCTGCTGGGAGCTGTACTGCCTGGAGCACGGCATCCAGCCCGACGGGCAGATGCCCAGCGACAAAACCATCGGCGGAGGGGATGACTCCTTCACCACCTTCTTCTGTGAGACTGGGGCTGGCAAGCATGTCCCACGGGCCATCTTCGTGGACCTGGAGCCCACAGTGATTGGTGAGTGCACCCTAAATGGGCAGTGATAATGGCCATTATTTCTGGCAACAACCCGTTGCTCCCTGGAATTCTTATGGCCTGAGGTGCCCCAGGGGTGGATAGCAGGCAGCTGGTGCTCATGGTCTTCTGACAATATCCTGCACTGGGTTCGACCCCGAGGGCCCTTTTTTTTCCCCAGGAGAAGCCACAAACGTGAGCACCCGCTTTTGTTCTTGAAGTGTCCTAGAGTCAGCGGTGCTTGTACCACATGTGCACAGAGAGAAACCAGCCCAACCGGCACGGCAGCTCCTGCTGCGCTGTGGGCAGGCAGCTCCTGAAGGGTGGGAGAAGCTGAGCTGCGCAGGGAGGTGGCAGCCACCTCCTCATGCCAGAGAAACCTGATGCTGGTGTTGGCTTTGCTGACGTGTGGGTCCTTGGCCATGCGACGGGCAGGCGGAGCCAAGGTGAGGGATGGCAGCTAGCACCCACGTGTCTGCTTGGCGGCCGGCTCAAACCAACAGCCTCCCCTGGGCTCAACCTGCCCCTGTTCTCTCCTAGATGAGGTTCGGGGAGGTGTCTACCGGCAGCTCTTTCACCCCGAGCAGCTGATAACTGGCAAGGAAGATGCTGCCAACAACTACGCCCGTGGGCACTACACCATCGGCAAAGAGATCATTGATCAAGTGCTGGACAGGATCCGTAAGCTGGTAAGTGACTGCAGAGAGGGGATGTGTCTCCCTGGACTGGGGTCCAGCCTCCCGCTGGGGCTCAGAATACACTGCAAGCTGTGCTGCGCCCTGGGTGGGATATGCAGCTGACCAGGGCAGGAATACAGCAGGTCCTGAAGGGACTTGTGGACAGCCAGACTGTCACAAAGACATGTATCTCAGAGCAATCTCTCCTCATATCTCTCCCCAGGCTGACCAGTGCACAGGCCTCCAGGGATTCCTGGTGTTTCACAGTTTTGGAGGTGGCACTGGCTCTGGATTCACCTCCCTGTTAATGGAACGACTCTCTGTTGATTACGGCAAGAAGTCCAAGCTGGAATTCTCCATCTACCCAGCACCACAAGTCTCCACCGCTGTGGTAGAGCCCTACAACTCCATTCTCACCACCCACACTACACTGGAGCACTCAGACTGTGCTTTCATGGTGGACAATGAGGCCATCTATGACATCTGCCGCCGGAACCTGGACATCGAGCGCCCAACCTACACCAACTTGAACAGACTCATCAGTCAGATTGTCTCATCCATCACAGCATCGCTACGGTTTGATGGAGCCCTGAATGTGGATCTGACCGAGTTCCAGACCAACCTGGTGCCCTACCCTCGCATTCACTTCCCCCTGGCCACCTATGCCCCTGTCATCTCCGCAGAGAAGGCTTATCATGAGCAGCTGTCGGTAGCCGAAATCACCAACTCCTGCTTCGAGCCGGCGAACCAGATGGTGAAGTGTGACCCTCGCCATGGCAAGTACATGGCCTGCTGCCTGCTGTACCGCGGGGACGTGGTGCCCAAGGACGTCAACGCCGCCATTGCCACCATCAAGACCAAACGCAGCATCCAGTTTGTGGACTGGTGCCCCACGGGCTTCAAGGTGGGCATCAACTACCAGCCACCCACGGTGGTGCCGGGGGGGGACCTGGCCAAGGTGCAGCGCGCCGTCTGCATGCTGAGCAACACCACGGCCATCGCTGAGGCCTGGGCTCGCCTGGACCACAAGTTTGACCTGATGTACGCCAAGCGCGCCTTCGTGCACTGGTACGTGGGGGAGGGCATGGAGGAAGGGGAGTTCTCCGAGGCACGGGAAGACATGGCCGCTCTGGAGAAGGATTATGAGGAAGTGGGCCTGGACTCCTACGAGGATGAAGAAGAGGGTGAGGAGTAGAGAAGCCTCAGCCAACATAGGACCACGCTCCTTCCCCGTGTTACCTGCAAACCCTTTGCAATAAACCGTTTCAGTCTCCGTGTGTCCCAGTATCCTCCCAGCTGTATCGGTTTCTTGCCAGGTCAGGTGTGTGGTGAGTGCTTCAGCCCTTGCTACTGGTGCTGCTATGCTTCCTCCCAGTGCTCTGCTCCAGCTCCAGCTTGCTACTTGTGCAGGTAAGAGCTCTGGGGTCTAGTCCCTGGTGCCATAGCACACATCCCACCTCACTCGTTGCTCCAGCCAGGGGTGGGTACCGCTTCCTCATGTGATATATGGCCCTGTGTTGTATCCTGGAGCTCAGGAGAGCAGATTTAGTCTGAGCAAGAAAAGAATGGCAGCTTTTGGTATTCTCCTCATGTGCAGCCCAAGGGTAGGTGGGCTCGCCTGGAAAGATAGTGGTTGAAGCAGTGAGAGCAATCTGGCAGCCCTGCCCCTGTGGTCAGCATGCAGGGCAAGGAGTATGTCGGGCTCTCTGGTGCAGTGGGTGCATCTGCAATGGCACCCAGCATGGCACGAACCCCTGCGGCTGCTGTTCTGCTGTGTGCGGTGAGAGGATTAAAGGAGGGGAATGCTCCCTGTGAAACTGTTTGTCTGCATCTCGTTTTTTACCCCCTCTCAGTCAGCAGCACCTGCTAGAGCCCAGTGAGCCCCTCCAGCCAAAGCTTCCCCCTTGGTCTGGGGCTGTCCTCAGTGCTGGGGTGATTGTGCTGTCCCCATGCTCTGCATATCCCCACCAGAGCAGAGCTGCTGCTCCTGCCTCCCAAGGTCTGGCAGCTTCCCAGTCTGGGCACCTACCTCCCTCTTCATGGATAGCAGAGAAGTTCTGCCTGTTCCCCTGCCACTGCCTGCCTGCCTCTGCTGATCCCTGTCCTGCAGTGCCCAGCTCCGGAGGCTCTGAACGGCAGTGTCTGGCTCCAGCTGCACAGTTGTGTTAGCTCCCAATAGGAGTGTTCTGGGGCCAGGGATTAACTTTCCCTGCTTTCTGCTAATGCTCTGGCTATGCTGCCCCAGCTGGCCTCTGCTGCCCTTCCTCTCCAGCAACGCTTGCCTGCTTAACCCAGACAGTGTGCCCTGCTCTTCCCATGCCCCAGCAGAAACCCTCCCTGCAGATAGGGACACAGCCACAGCTCTGCAAGAACGTACTTTACTTCAAACACAAGGCAACACCGGTGCCAAGAGCAATGGCAGAGTGGGCACTCCCTCTGCCTCTCTCCAGCACAGCACTGGGATCCGGCCCGGACCTTCCTGGGGCACAGGGCTGCAGGACAGTGGCTCCCATCCCCAGGAGGGGTCCCACAACATCCTCTTCTGCCACCCCCAGGGAAGGCAGCAGCTGGCAAGGGACCCATGTTTAGCAGCAGATCACATCTCCACAGCTCAGGGGCACAGACCAAGGCCCAGGCAGCAGCATCCAGGGTACAGAACACTCAAAATCCAACACACCTCCAGCACAGAGCAGCAGCTCTCCCCCAGGGCATCAATCCCCTCTGCAACAGGTCTGCAGGGCAGCAGGGATTAGGGCAGCTGCTTTTCCCCTGGCTCAGCCTCAGGACGTGTCACCACTGGAAGGGGACAGGCTCAGATCTGTGTGGTGTCCTGTCCCTCTGGTGCTGGCTGCAGCCCTTCCAGCTGGTGTAGGATTTCATTTATGCTGGGTCTCTCCTGGGGGTTCACTGTCATCATGGAGAAGAGCAGGCGTTGCAAGGCAGGTGAGTACCTGGAAGAAAGACGGTGAGGGGAGGACCATGCAGTGCACAGGACAGGGGGCCACCCAGGAATGGGGTCACCCTCCCCAGCGCCTCACCTGGTTGTGGAAGGCAACGTGAGTGGGTTCTGAACTGCCAGAGCCACACTGTCACCCTTCTGGAAGACGGCATCATAGGGGCCCTCTCCAAACATCATGCAGTACAGCACACAGCCTAAGGACTGGAGCGTGGTGGTGTCAGTGCAGCCCTGTAGCAGTGGGATGGGGGAGGCCAGAGGGCTGGATCCTTACCCAGATATCCGTACGCTCATCTATGACACACTGGCTCGGCACCGTGAAGAGCTCAGGGGCACGGTAGGAGATGGTGCAGCGCTGGGCAGCCCAGTCCTGCAAAGAGGAGGATGGGGATGAAGGGACTGGAGTAGGGACAGGCTCATGGGGTGACATCCCAGGCCACCCACCTGCACAGCCATGGCCTCCCGAGAGCTGTTGACTTGGATGCGAGCTTTGTTCATGGAGCCCAGGTCCATCAGCACAGGCTGGTCATCCTCATCCAGCAGCACATTGGTGGGCTTGAGGTCCCTGTGGGAATGGACATCACTGAATTCCCACTGGGGCCCCTGCCAATTCCCCCAGCCAGTGCTGCCACCCCTCACCTGTGTGCATAGCCCTTGCTGTGGATGGCTTGCAGCCCACGACAGATCCCATGGAGGATGAGGAGGATCCGCTGCTCTGGCATGAAGGTGCCTTTCTCTCGCAGTGCTTCCACCTCTCTCCACAGGGTTCCCCCCTGGCAAATACAAGCAGCTCGTCACCACTGCTGCTCCTGGGGTGGCGGGGCAGCCAGGAAAGCCCCCCTCACCTGCACATAGGGCAGGAGAAGCCAGGCTTCGTGCTTGGTGCCCTTCTCCACCATGCAGTGGGCCACCAGGCGCAGGATGTTGGGGTGGTCGAAGAGGCCGTGCATCTCCACCTCGTGCAGGGCAGCCTGGCAGTCTTCCTTGTCGTGGCACAGGATGCGCTTCAGGGCATAGAAGCGCCCATCCCGCAGCCCCTCCACTAGGTCCACATAGCTGAAGCCCCTGCAAAGAGTCAAGAATAGCATGGGCTGGGGGCTGTGACATCCATGCTGCGGCCCTGTGCCCAGTCTCATCTACGGGCATCCAGGGGAGGGGGACAGAGGGCAACAGGAATTCCCCAGGTATGTGTATCTCCCCATCCTGCAGGCACCTGTGAGGAACCCAAAGCATCCCTTCTCTGTATGAAAAACCCTACTGGTCAGTCGTCCCCATTCCCATGGCTCCAAGCACCTGCTTCTGAGAATGACCAACCCCTCCTGGTCACTCAGCAGGAGAATCATCTGTCATGCACAAGCACCCCTGACGCTGAAGCATCATCCCTCACCAAGCCCAAGTACTTCCCCAAGCTGATCTGAGCTCAAGCATCTCCCCACCCTGCCCGAGCATCCCGTGCCCAAGCATATCCTCATGCACAACCATCCCCCATGCCTAAGCATCTCCCCACGCCTGAGCACCACCCCAATGCCAAATCATCTCCCGTGCACAAGCATCCCCGTGCCCGAGCTCCCGTACAAGCACCCCCAGGCCCGCGCACCTCCATGCCCGAGCATCCCCCATACACAAGCACACCCAAGCATCCCCCCCACGCCCGAGCACGGCCCCAGCCCGAGGACCCCTCCTTGCCCGAGCATCCCCGCCGGAGCAGGGGGACCCCCCGGCCGAGCCCCCCGCGCCGCAGCGCGCCGCGCACCCCTCTGCCAGGCGGTGGAGCAGGAGGTACCGCGCTCCCCCCAGGCTGACGGTGCCGCGGGAGCAGACGCACAGCGTCTGCCCCATCGCCCGTCCGCGTCATCGCCCGGTGCCGCGCGTCACCGCCGCGTCACCGCCGCGTCACCCGCGGGCGGGGCGCCACCGCCTCCCGCTGCCCGCGGCCGCGGTCCCTCCCCCTGCCGCACCTCCCGACCGCCCCGTCACGGGCTCTGCCACCAGCTATAGCCCTCGCCCCGGGCACGTTTTCCTTTCCCTCACCAGCAGCAGCCCTCCGATCAGAGCTACAGCCGAGCTTTCCATCCCCGCCTGAGGGAACAAGCGGGCTGAGTTCAATGGAAGGCTTCTGCCTGGTGGGGACACTTTCAGGAGGCTCACTTTGACTGTCACCCCCGCCCCGCTGGGCAGCAGCGGTGTGCCCGCCGGCCGGAGCTGGCTCGGGCAGCGTTGTGCCGCCTGCATCCCCGGCTGGGGTGGGCTTTGCGGGGGCTGATGCGGCTGGCCGGACGTGGAGGGCCGGAGCCGCCCACCCCTTTCCCATGGTCCCGCCCCGGCTGTTCCAGCTGCCCGCGCTGGCCGAGAGCCTTCCCGGATCATGTGATGGTGGTGGCCACGTCCAGCCCCGTGCCCCATCCCGGGCCTGCCGAGCGCCCGGCGGGCATGGCACTGCCGGCCCTCGCCCTGCTGCTGGCGGCGGGGCTCCTGCCCACGCAGGTTAGCAAACAAGGGCGGAAAGTCCGGGGGAGCGCATAGGACTGAGCTGTGAAGGAGCGGGTGGGACGCGTCCCGAATCTGCCTTCCCGATCCGTCTCCCTGCTCGTCGGGCTGTAGCTCCCTCCTGCAGCAGCCCGTGTCCTGCCACAATGTCCCAGCTTGCATTCCCAGCCCCTTGCCCAGCACCGTCCCCACAAATGCCACCAGTTCAGCCGCCGGGTGTTTGATTAGCGGGGAGGCTCAGCTCCTCCCTCCT